ATTTTTTTATTTTATAGATATACATGAGATATTATCTAAAAAAAGTATCATTCATATGATAAGTTAAAATCTAAAAATAAATATAATTTTAAAAATTTCCCGCGATAACGCCATTTCTGTTATGGCGTTGTTATGACGTCACGGCCTTCTGAAATTAATATCGTTCTATGTATGCATAAGGTGGAATTCTCTAAGTTCTGATTGAGTAAGAGGGGTGTGACGTCACTCTCTGTTTGCGGTCACGTGACGACGAGTATAAAATATTTGTAATTTATAATTAGTTTAAGCAATATTTTAAATTATAGTACATATAATAAGCATAAAAGTGTGATTATCGGTAATAATATATTAAACACTACCAGAAATTTATATATTTATTTATTTTCTTTTACTGTCTACACCCGTATTTGAATAGGTACATTTTTTATAAGTATAAATGTAACCATATTTATAGTTACTATATTTACCACTAATTAACGGGATTGTCTGGAGTAGTGATGGGCAACATGTAATCCTAATAAACGATAACATTAAATAATTCTTCCAGGATTGAAGATTACTGTACTATAGATGAAAAAATCACTTGTATATTATTATATTACGATAACAAGTCTGGTTTAATACTTAATCACCCTTAATGATTCATATATGCGTCGTCACATAGCTTATCTGTGCCTAATGCTCCGGTTGCATAACGATTGTTAATCAATCTGCAATTTGTCGGATTGCGTGGAATTAAGCTTTTAATATACAAATGGGGTAATATTACGAACATTATCATATATCAGGATTACATTTTGCCCGTCTCTTGTCACGAGTAAAACGAAGCGGTCGCAAGGGACGAGAAAAGTAAATTGTAATGAAAAAATACGACGACCCATCGAATATATTATTGAAAATGTGTTAGTACCATATAATTATTGGTACCAACCAAGTTTGATAAACGAAATCAAAAAAAGGGGCAAAATCGAAGTATTATGTGTTCGTTGAAATTAAAAGATGCGTATCAGTAGGTACGTAATATTTAGGGTCTTTTACCGTATTTTCGTCCGCCGTAAGAACAAACTATAGTAAAACTGGTCGACTCCACTTAGGACCCTGGTTACAAAACACAATCTCAACCTAAAACTAGAGCCACACTGCTCAGCGTAGCCCACAAATCATTATAGTACATTCAACTGAACGTCAGACTTTGCAATACTGTCAAATTTCCCCACTCGAATTTAAATCTTAATTTATTGAAAGTAAAGGTCAAAATCTGTTTCACTAATTTTGTAACCTGACGTGCAGCCATGTGTACTTGGCAGTTATTGTTGACTTTGTACATCAATGTTAATTCATTATATTATTGTAATATTATTATTTTTGAATCTTTAAATAAAGGACAAATGTTATGTGTCTCACCTTTACACATTCAGAAAAAAAACATTTAGGTAGTTCAAATTGAAACGAGTGTTGTAGATCGTAAAAAGTAATAAATTTGCTTTCTTTTATAAGATATGGTTTAGAAATCATATATTATTTACGTCATACTATAAATACTAATTATTTATAAAAAACAAACTATTATGTATAAAATGTTCAAAGATGTGTATTTGCATTAAATTATCAGCATTTTTAGAACTTATCCGAGAATAATGTTACCCAGTGTAATATTACGTAACATTACCAGTATTATTAATATTGCGAGAGGTTTCGTGAGAAGGCTTTGTTCTAGCATTGTAGTATATTAAGTATTTGTTATGTAATTATTTTTTATACGAGGTATTGATAAAAGTTGCAGTTTAGTAGAAAATAAATTAAGTTCGCAAATTTTACGGCGTTTTATTTGTATTACCAGTAATTTTTTATATACTAACAAATCATTAAATTTTCAAGTATATACAGGGTTATTTGTTTAACACCAAGAACCGGACTATGTACGTAGTCATAACATTCTTTTTACCAGTTCAGAACCATAACCTTAGCCATAGGATACAATGTCTTAGCGATGTTAAGGCGATATATCGTTTCATTTTACTACATTCACAAATTCTTTGGTGGGTAAAGGACAATGTCCAAATTAGCCTATGAACCTCTAAGAATATCTTGTATATCATAATTCTTATCATATTTTATGATTAATATATCAGCTTTTAAAATCAAACGGACACTGCCTATTTTTGTAATTACTTTAAAAAGTAATATCAATACATTTGATAAACTTCAATAAACGCTGCCACCATATTTTAATAAGTTGACAAATCAGGATCTATGCACAATTTGATGTATAATCAACCAATGAACACTTAAAGCGCTTGACATTAAAACGAGACTCAAAACGTTCGTAGATTTTTAAGCGGCTGGAAGCGCTCTTTTACATACGTTTGACAATTTTGAACTTTTGAAGTTTTGTTTGACAATCGCTTTTATACTCGCGTTGTGTTTACGTCGCTTGAGTTTGTTTGTACGATTTCTTGTGTCTTGTGAATATTAGTTATAAAATAACGACTTGGCTTGTACTAAGGACTGATTTCGTCTTATAATGTCTACCTTCGGCAGTGATTTACGGCATACCGACCTACTATAGACGACGACTTGGCATTTATTTAACGGACATTAACATGGAATCTGGGTGTGTTGAAGTGTTTTGTGTTAATTGCGGTTCAGCTTCTGGTTGCATGGTATTAGAAGATGAGCAGATGCTTCAGTGTTTACAACACTGGGTTGCTCCAAGATTGGTAAGTACATGCTCCCGATACAGAACCTACAGAACCTTTTAAAGCAAACAACAACAATCAACATTTAAAGCAAAGTAGTCATACATTTCTCTACAAAAAGCAAGTAAAACAAACATTAAAAAGAATCTAACCGCACGCTACAATTGTTAAAATTATAACCTCAAATCCAAAATATATTTTTTGATTTATACATTTCTTAGAAGTGTCCGTTACTTAAACATGTATTTAGACGTAAATATAGATACTTTAGAACACGAAAAGTGATAGTACATGCTTAGAGGTTCTTAGGCGAAAAATATATGGGGGCTGGACATTGTCCTTTGGATTAAATGATTTAAGTTGGTCATACTGCTACGAAATCCATCAACGTCAATCATTCGTCGTTAATAAAGACCATGTGAAAGAAATAATATTTTTAGTGCTATAATATAGGGCACATTACAAAGAAAGAAAACAAAATGTGTCAGACAGTATACTAATGGGCGGCCTTATTGCTATGCAGCAATCTCTTCCTGGCAACCAATGGTTATACAGAAAACATAGATAAATAATAATGATGAAGGAGAGTTAAAAATTGGAGAAAAAGTAGCTCTTCACTTCTGCGACGCAGGATGGCAAAAGTGCGAGCTTTCCTAATAGTTTCTGGTAACGAGTTTCAAAGCTGAACAGCTTAAACAAAAAAAGAATAGGACAGGAAGAGGTGAGATATCAAGTTTGAGGTTAGAGGCAAAGCGCAGAATACACACGAGATCGGGATGACGAGTTGCGAATGGAAAAAAAATATTATTAGGTGCCTAAAGTGGGGACATATGCAAGAAAGGATTAGAGTAGTAGTAAATTAAAACGAAATATCGCCTTAACGCACATGGCTACAGAATTAGGCAGTCGCACCCCAGTCAATCCGTTACATTTATGTTCGGTTGTCAATAACTCTACGCGCAATAACAATGTGTAGGATTGTAGGTCTTCATTACTTCACATTACATACTTCTATGTTCTATTAGATAGAACATAGAAGTATGAATGTCACGGCATCATTATCATCATCAGCCCTTTTACGTCCCCACTGTAGGGGCCCACGCCTTCCTTATGGATGGTTTTAAGAAGGATGGGCCATGACCCTCCACGCTGACCCAATACGGATTTGAGGGTATTAACGATTCCGAATGTAGCCGGGACCAACGGCTTAACGTGCCTTCCCGTAATATTTTGGCCACCCCTCCCGAGACTGATCCTTGTAAAAATTGCTTAACAACAACGATCGAGGCCCGCGGCGCTTATACTCTACGCCACCGAGCTACTTTTAATGTCACGACATACAATAAAAAATCATTGTTGTTCCAAAGTATCAGCTTATGTAAAAACTCGTTGATCAAACGTTATTGTTTACGTAGGTACCAATAAGGTCTGCGTCCTGCTAGCGTAGCATGACGAACTCCAGGGTTGAGAAAGTGGCGATGCCGACAATGATATACCTATAATATGGTCTATATAGCTATATAGACCACCAGCTTTTTCCCGCGACTTCGTCCGCGTGGTAAAATTACTTTGAGCAGCATTTCTAACGAATATTTATTTATTCGTTCCATTAGGTACTGATAGGTTCAAACTAATACATTTACATCCTCCATCATCCCTTATTTTATCTCCATGGGGGTTGAATTTATCAAAATACTATTTAAGCGGACGTCTTCATCATAGTAGCTCCAATCTCTAATTTCAGTTCAATCAGTCGAAAATCTAAGAAAATTTATACAAACTTTCATGGTGATTTGGGCTGTGCGTTGGTAGATATATATATACATGCTATATATGCTCTATAATAGGTATCTCATTCTCGGCATCGCCCTTTTCTCGAGCCCCGAGATCGTCGTATTCTGGCTCTTTGTCCATTTCTCGAATCTTTTTAGTTCGTCATGCTACCCGTGCTGATGTTTTACAAATAACACTGTAAAAGTAATCATAAAAAAACAAAACTAACTATTTTTGAATGAACATTTATTAGGTAGGTGTTTTAATTTATAAAAAAATATAACGTTAACATAAAAAGTAGAGCACCTAAAATAGTGTGTTTTAAAGATTAAAGCTATTTAATAATACGTTAGTGGGTATGTACTTATTATGTAAAATATAAAAATTCATATAAAGTGTTTACTTATGCTCAGTCCACACGGTAGCGATTTAACTGCGGAGTCTATATGTACAGTTTATCGTCCGTAGTGCCTACGATCGCTAGCACCGGTCAAAAAACTGCGCCGATTTTAGTCAAAACCGTAACCCTGTGGACCAGACATTAAATGGCTTTTAACAGAACGTGATACATACGGCGTATTCTTGCCGCAACACATGAGTTTACCAAAAAGGTAAAATTTCTCCAATTAATTTTGAACTTGGGTTACTTAAGAGAAATATGACCTGTTTTAGTCAACTGACGTGTCAACTGTACAAAATGCGATAACACTCTCCAACGCGTGCATGTTCTTAAACCTTAATTATGATTGTTAGTAAAAAAGAACCCTTTTCGTAACCCTAAGTTATTACAAGAAACGTCTTCTCTTACAATCGCTGTAATATTTTTCATATAGGCAGCTATTTAACTCCATATCCGCCTGACCACGTAAAGATTCGAAAACTTCCTTAAAGGCATTCAAATTACATTCCTCTTCTGGATCCTGAGGCAGCACTTGCAGTGCAAACGAACGAGCTTCAGATGTATTACATTCTAAGAGACCACGAGTAAATGCAACTAGTATATCATGATACTTCACAGTTGTTATGTTACTCGATATAATATCATAAATATAATCGATAACCATTTCTACAATATGATTGGTAAAATATGAGTAATATAGATTTTTTTCAACAAATTCCGCTATAAGTTTTCCAATTTCTTTCCCATAAATTACAGCTGTTTCAACGGTCATCTCCACTTTATTTTCATCAGTGCACTTCTTTCTATGCGCTTCGATCAACTTGCCAGTAATCATTTTCAAACGTAACTTCCATACGAAAATGTAAATTTCATATATCGGCAAAGAGGACTGTAATTTTTCCAAAATAGCTTCAAAAACACAAGTGGAAGATTCATAATTTATGGCGTCATCAGATAAACTTTTCCGATCCAGCTTTTTAATAAGATCATAACAAATTCGACGGTATAAGTAAACATCTCCGACAACCTTATTCCAATTTTCAATACATCGTTGAATAATGGTCTTCGCTACCTCTATACTTTCTTTGCGGTCTTCCTCAGAGTTTGTAAAGTAGACTATATAATGAGCTGTAAGTTCCCACTTAACTCCAATCAAATTTGCGTTACTGTCGTTTATCTCCACCATACTCTCATTAAACACAGTTTCCAGATGTTCATCGATGATACTTTTTAATATATCTTTTTTCATTAATCTCAAACTATCGTCAACACAATGAATCATGTTTAATTTACGTAGTAAATTGGTCTGATTGTTAGAAAACTTTTGAACAGTATTCCATACAATCTCATAGAATTCTCCTAGAAATTCTTCGGATAATTTGTTTCTCATTATGATGTTGAATAATTCGTCGTCATCGTCCTCTTTGATATCAGCAGTTAGTGTCTTTAATACATCAAACAGCTCTCTAGAATCTTCTTCCATGTTCTTTTTGAAGAACGCTCTATAAATTACACTTCTTAACGACACATTTTTTGTTTTCCTCCAACAATCTAAAACCAGTTTGGTCAAATTATCTGCATCAAAGCATTTGAAAGCTAATCGCAATCCGTGTTTCTGTACCGATATCGGAAATTGTATGATAGATTCTACGAATTTAAGACATAAGGGTTGCGGTAAATTTGCCAAGTACATATTAAACATAGGTAAGCAGTAGCGAACATAGTCACCTTTTAAGTACATAATCACAGACGATAAAGGTACAGGTGGTCGAGAATAACAAGCGAACCGGCAAATATTTTCCTGAATATTTAAATGGACTGGATCCACATTAACATGATCTATTTTTGCGGATTTTGGAGCGTAATTCTTCATGAAATCAATTTTAGACGCCTCATCGCTAAGCTGAAAAATTGAGAACACAGCAGTAGCTGCAACCCGGTGTTGTAACACTTTCTCCAATAATAATTGCTGAAAGAATTTTAAGTATTCTTTCGAAATATCACTTACAAAATATATTCTTAACTTTTTCAGGAATGTGTTCATTCTGAAACTCCAATTATCGGATATTACCGACTTTAAATCTCCTAAAGTATCAACTAGACGATAAGCATTTTCTTTCATACACTTCAGTAACTTACGTTCAGATATTTTTTCTTCACTTTTTTCCTCGAGTATTTGTTGATATCTAAATGAATTCCAGTCAAGTTTTATAAATTTCATGACTATTTCTGGAATATCATTTTTTTGTTTTTTATACATTGCCATAAACTCCAAAAGAAAGTGAATATATAGAGTCACTTTTGATTTAGTTTCTTCTAGTTCTTTTGAATCTTTGGGTAAGGTACTGAAACTTTCGATTTTGTTAATGTAAAAATTAAATATGTATTTATATAGCGTTTGTTTTTCCTCGTTTGTGAAGTCATCTACATAACATTTAAAATTATAACTACTCATCTCACTATTCAAATATTTTTGTAAGGAATGAGGCATTGATTTGTTATGCAGTATATGATAAAGTAGTGATACGACTTTCAAATTTGCGCTAGCCTCATGACCTAAAACGTTATACACATTTAAACTATGTAATATTTTATCGAAGGCTTCCCAGCAGTCGTTATTGAACTTAAAGACTTTATGGCAACGTAGAACTTTGTTCAGAAAGGCTTCTTTGCTGTTTTTAGATTCATTTACATGTCTTTCATAATAATATTTCAAGAGCTGTTCTAAATCATATTGGTTTTTAGCGGATTCAACTAAAACTTTAATTATATCAGTTCTTTTGTTATGATCGGTAGTCATCTTTATATACTTTTTGATCTCTACGAACGCTTTTTCAAAATTAACAAATTTGTACCAAATGTAATCACGGCCTGCGCCTAGCAGTTCCTTCCTACTTGCTATATGACGTAAAGCCCAATCCTCTTGCTCTGTTAATGACATCAAGTTATAGTAATTTTGATCAAAGAATGATTTGTTCATTTCAAACTCGTCAGACGGATAACGACCGGTAAAAGTTTTCTGTAAAAATGTGTAACGTTCGTGTTCTGGAATAATTTCAATAATGTATTTATAAGTCTTGTAAAAGTTCATATCCCAGAATTCAGACGTTTCTTTTGGCATGAGACTGATAACATACATTTTAGCATCGTTAACATTGCTGTGACGAACAAGTTTTATTTTATTTAATATGGTTACATATAATTTGGGGTTTTTCAATACACGATTCTTATGTTTCGTCATAATATGCTTAGAGATCCTAAGACCTAGTTCATTTTTGCGAAATTTATTAATTTTCACATGTTTCTCCAACAAATTTAAATATAGTTCATCCGATATCGCATAAAGATGCCGGAACTCGATTAAATTAATTGATTGCCATTCTGATAGTTTATCTATATACGCTTCCAGTAATGCAAAAGAGTTTCCGATAAATAATTTCAAATACTTAATGTCGCTGTTTATAATGCCATTTTCTAAACAGTTTAATTTGAATGATTCCGAAGTTCTAAGGAGAAATTTATCAGCTAAATTGTTGAACTTAATACGTAGGCAGTAATTGTAGAATTCAGCAGCACGCTTCTCGCTTTCGATAGCTATCGACACTGCAGTTAAAAGTTTTTTCTTCATTTTAATAGACATAAATGGGAAAACATTATGGTGTAGGTAGTCAGTATTGATGACTATAGAATAGTTTTCGTCGTACAGCCAAGGGCACTTTTTGAGTACTCGTGAAACGTAAAGACTATCACCAGACTTCAGAACCTCTACAATATAATCTACATTTTTATATTTGGCTGCCAAATCGATTTTGAATATTTTGTCAACATCAGTAACTCCTGGTTCATTTTTGATATCTTCGAAATTTGTTTCATTGGCAAATGCTTCGTTCACTTTGTTGTTTAGTTCCTGTTGCCGTTTACGTAGATTGTTCCCAGTCAACTGAATCATTTTAATATCTGTGAACAATTAACATCAATTTAAACAATATCTCTCTTCAACGAATGTCTTCATGTCCGACATAAAGGCCAAGGTGGAGAAAAGGTATTACAAATTATTCATCGAATTTATTTATTTATTTATTTCAAGAAAAAATCCACAGCAAGTTCTAATGTTAATAATAGCAGAACAATTTTAACATATTTTAAAGCCAATTACGGATTTTAATTATTTAACTACATAAAACAAAATTAAAATTAAACAACCTCGACCAAATACAGCAAGAAGCGAATTGTATATGTGTGTGTGTGTGTTTTATATAATCTGTTTAGTTTGATAAATATATAAATGATGGACGTCATTAAGGTACATTACAATAAATCGAGTCTTATTAGGGTGCATATTCCGGAGAATTTATTTGATTATACAAATCAGTGCAATAAGACCGTCTTTGTGGGGTTAAAAAAAAATTACACGATTCTTTTAAATGAGGAATTAGATTTTTTTAAACCAAACTAGAGTTGAAGGCCACGAAATTTGAAAATTTTGTAGAGTTCATTTCATTTGTCTATGATTCAGCTGCACTTCAGGCTACCACAATATGTCAATTTTCCTCAACTAATTTGAAAAGTAGCGATAAAGAATTAGGGTTAATATCAAGTGGGGAACTTTTTGCGCTGGGTAGGGTTAACGTGATCTATCGCAGCGCTCATGGTGGCCAAAAGTTAAAACATTGAGAGCTCTGTCATCTGTCATACCATATTATGTAGGTACTCGTGTTTCTTTCCACTTGATTAATTTTAAAACTGTTTATTAATTATAATTTATAATACAAAAAAAAATTTAATAAAAGTTTTTTTTTATTTTATTTAAAATTTAAATCATAGTTTGTATAGGAATGATAAAACAATAAATAAACAGAGCTGAAAAATATTTGATTTTTTTCTTAATGATAATATTTTTTATCAAACCTACAACACATTACATACATATTATAAAGTAAAATAACATTGTAATTAATTACTTTTGTTATTATTATCATTACTTGTACAAGTATTTTGAAAATACAATTACTAAAAAAATAATGTCTATGTTGGTTTTATCACTTACTTCTTTTATTGTATTTAAATAAAGAATTTATTCTTATTACTTTTTTTATATTGAATTTATTCTTATTCTTATTACTAACTGCAAGCGAACTAATATTAAAATGCAAACTCAGTCATACTGACTATGAGTTCCATCGCAGATTAATTACGAGTAGGTACTTTCAAAAACATAGGAATTGTAGGGTATCGAAATTTTCATTTTATATTGTAAGTGATACACACTCACTCGGATCTCAGAATAAAATTTGGATCTAGACCCATATTTGATGTAATAATAACGATGCAAGCATAATTGTAATGTATACTATTATTTAATGAAACCGTCAGAGATGCTTTAATTTCTTGTTTACAGTGAAATTGTAACTAAAAATTACCTAAACAAATTCTTACATAATCAAAATAAAACACTTTTTAAATATATAGAAGATTTATTATATATTGTAGTTGTCCCCTTTGGTGAGGTGGTGAGCCTTTTTAAAATCAATGCCAATACAATGCGAACAAACAATTATAAACAAATCTTACATCTTTATAATATTAGTACCTACATATACCTATCTTGTGTTTTATTCAAAATAGCATACCACTTTGCTAATAATTTTTGCTATATATTTTATTTAAGTAATTTATTAATATCAGCATTCGCTGATATAGGCAAAACCCGCATCAGCAACAGCCCTGGTTCCTGGGGCAGTATTCCCAACAGTAAGATAATTATCGTACATGTGCGATAATTTTATCAAATGTACCATGTACGATAACCTACTATTATCGTAAAGTATACAGATAAAATAATTTTATAGGAATCACGCATGACTTATTAATTTCTAATACTGTTCGAATGTATGTACACTAGTGCGATACACCGAAGGTCGACAGCATTTTTGAACGACAAACACCACGCTAATTCGATAAACAAATTAGGTCTTTAAAACGTTTTTAAGAAAGCTTTAATATAGTACAAGCTTAATTGGGTCCCGCTTACTGGTTTTTGATTGTGACGAAATTTTTTATGCATATAAAATTCCGATGACGATACAACATTAATTAAAATGGAATGGAGGTAATTTGTTAATATAGCAGATAGGTAAACTAATCATGAGACCGCATAGAGTTTAATATGTCTCGTGACAAGGACTTGTTCAATCCAGTTAAATAAGTCTGATAGCATAAATTTAAAGTATATAATAAATCCACGGTTAATAGAGCTGATAAATGGTCATGGAAACTTTAAATAGTGTGGAGTATATTGCGCCCATGAACTTTTCATAATTAAAAGCAGTCCTGAATGAGAAGTAGAGTAAGTAGGGAAAAAAGACTATTCAAAAATTTAAGCCAATGATCAAATATTAGGGGTTAAAGTATGTTACAGCCCGCAATATCAATGTTGCGTTTGGAGAGAGGTCTGCTAATGAACGCACCGTGCGATTTTGGTTTAATCGCTTTCGTGATGGAAACTTCGACTTGAAGAACGAGTCACGAGGAAGACCGCCCACATAGGTGAATAATGATGAATTAAGAGAGATGGTGGAAGCCGATCCTAGTCAAACTACCCAAGAATTAGCGGCATGGTTTAACGTTACCTTACCCACAACATTGACTCGTTTGCGTCAAATCAATAAAATAAAAACAAACGCAAATGGGTGCCTCATGATTTGACTGATCTGCAGAAAGAAACGTGTGTTGAAACTTGTGTTGCCTTGTTGAATTGGTACAGAAATGAAGGAATATTGGATCGAAACGTGACATGTGATGAAAAGTGGATTCTTTATGATAATCGTAAAAGAAAAACGCAATGGCTGACCCCACTTCAAACGCCACAACAGTGTCCTAAAGCAAAACATACCAATAAAAAAGTAATGGTAACTGTTTGGTGGTCTCAGCATGGTGTTATTCACAGTCTAGATCCTCAGAGTTCTATCGGAAAGGCATGACCTTCCTATTAGATGGCAGCAATGTATGGATAATAATGGTTAATATTTTGATTAAATAAATTTGTTTAAAATTAAAACAATCAATTTTGATTTTCAGTACAAATCAGCAATTTTATACTTTAACCCCTATTATTTATTTTCAATTATATCATCTATACTAAAGATGCGGCGAGTTATACTTTTGCCGAGTAACGAGTACCGAGTTTAACTCGGCTCAATTTTTTTTCAACCGAGTACTCGGCCGAGTAACTCGGTTTTATTAAATTCCCTTTTTTTTCTCGCATAAACAAGTACAACCAGGTTCGGTCGGGAGGCCGGCTCGCTATGATACACCCACAGGACTCACCCAGCCCGCACCTTTCAACTACCAGTCGCTTGATAGTAAGTGATTCTACGACGGCAATGTCAAACCATGTTAAAATAATACACGCGGAAGAGTTTAAAGATTTGGAAAATGATTGGAAATATCTCAAAATCGTGATCCAATGGCATCAACTTCGTCATCGCAATCGAATGCAATGAAAATACAGCAAATCCTTATCTAATCATTTAGTACAAAATGGGACATAACTGATTCGCGTGCTAAACAAATTCACAAAGCTGTAGCAGAGATGATCGCTTTAGATAACCAATCGATATCTATGTTGGAAAATAATGGGTTCCAAAGATTAATGATTACCTTAAAATCCAAATACCAAATTCCAAGTAGAAAGTAGTAATATATACTTTTTGATTAACACTGTTGTTTTAATTATATCTACCGAAATATATTGCTTTTCTTAAAAAAAGTATACTCAGCATTCATATTGAGTTACTCGGCCGAGTACGAGTATCAAAAAACCAGCCAAGTACGCCGAGTACCGAGTATCTGCCGAGTACTCGGCCCATCTCTAATCTATACATATATAAAAGGAGATATCCCGACTTACTGACTGACAACGCACAGCCTAAACCACTGGTCGTGGGGACTTAAATTTGGAAAAAACATTCCTCTTATTATGTAGAGACTGAGGGATTTTTGGACATTCCATTCGGGAGGGGGTCAAAAAGGGTGAAAACATTTGTATGAAACTTCTTTATTTTTGGACCTATATCGATAAAAATTGGTATTTGGATAGCTTAGGACTTTATGCAGGTCATAAGTTATATTTTATACCGAAATCTAGCACTTAAAGGAATTAAAATGGGAGTGAAAGTTTCTATGGGGAATGAAAATATTATCATAGCAACCATTGTTTACAATTTGATTTATCATTTTAATAAATCTATATAATATTACTTCTAAAGATTTCCTAATATTGTGATAAAAATTGATATTTGAGTATATAATTGTAAACAAGAATAACATAATAAATAAATATTTTTTGAAAATATTCAAGTACAAATCACAAACACAGTTTTTATGCTATACTAGATGGCGTTATGTATACTTCTACATCCTGCTTTGGTAAAGGTTGAGGCGGCCAATTTTTTTATTTATTTCAAGCATAAATAATAATCATAGAGCAATTATTCGGAAAATACGTTATGCCGTTGTTCCGGCTGCATTTGCAATTGTTAATGCCATCTAATCCGCGTTGAACCAGCGCGGAGGGTCATGGCCCATCCTCTTTGACCAATCTATAAGGAAGGCCTGAGCTCCATGCAGTGGAGACGTAAAAGGTCTGATGATGGTGATACTAGATGGCGTTTACGCTTAATTTTATGATTAAGTTTTATGTGGACGTTAGATTTGTGTTTTTTTTTCTATCTGTATTTCAAATCGGTTATATAGCTAAGAGATAAAGTACTGTAACATATTGGACATTAGTCGGTTTATTAATTGTATCTCTGATGCTGAACCTTAAATTAATAAATACATATAGCTTTTTGGTGTAGTGTCGTCGAATATGAACATCAAAGTAATTTTATTTGAATATTTATTGGACGTTGTGCTATTAATAAAATTTATAAGCGTGTTTCGTATAGTGATCTTTGACAGTTAACCAGTTCCCTGGGTACAGCCGCACTGCAGAAGAACGTTTTGATGGTTACTCAGCAAATCGACGTTTGGCCGTGCAAATGAATGGCGCCATTCTATTACAGGGTTAGCCGCCTAATTGGACGAATCTTTTACCCAGTTGACTATGACATATCCATTATATATTGACAGTTTAAACTTTTAATTTTCATTTTAACAGCTGTGAGATTAAAAGTCGACCAAGCAATCGTGATTGATACTGTTCTTAGTCTATTTATTTTGGTAACTGCCTGGTAATCGATTATTATAATAAATGTATGATGATGTAAT